AACAAACAAACAAACAAACAAACAAAGGCATACTGAAAATTACGTCAAGTGATTTTAAAAATTATGAACTTGAATATGCAACTTATCTCAAGCAAATTATAACACACAATATCATAACTTTTAGACTGCTAGGGGCACAGATTAAATAGATGAGTCTAATTAATCAGCTAGGGTTTTCCAAGAGGATAATATCATAAATATGTGATAAAGCATAATTACCACTTTGTTAATGTGTAAATTAACAGAGCACAAGAATCCTATGTAAGCCATGCCTTGTAGTCAATGTGCCTCAAAGAAGTAAAGAGATGAAAATAGGCTTTGACCCTAATAGTACGATAAAAGAAATAGGCACCCCTCCATCAGCCAATGCCACAAGAGGCCATCAGACCTTATACATGTGTGTAATTTTGTTCAGGTGGGACTATCAGGACGAGGTAACATGAAACAGCAAAACATAGTTGTCAAGATATGTGTGTTAGGGCATTTTCTAAGCAGCACATTAAAAACAGTTCATAGATACAAAGAAAATAAATATGCACATCTGAATATCTTCACACTTCTTAAACAGGATAAATTTCTGTTAGGTCTGTGAATGGATTACAGAAATTTTTGTCACTTTATCCTATACATTTTATCAGATTTACTCCTCAGTTAAACCTTCACAAAGTCACATGGGAGAAAAAATATCACTACACATTGGATGAAATCCTATGTTACACCACATAAAACTGATGAGATCACCAGGTGTGACTAGTGTTTGGAAAAAGATCTCCTCACCCCCAAAGGTCCTGAGGCTCCCATGGAATTTCTTTCATTGTCAGGAAGCCATTGGGGCCTGCAAGATTTGCAGGGAGGAGTCTTTAACTATCAAAAATCACTACCACTGAGATGACTTTACTGGTGGTGGGAATATTTAGTAATGAAAGGCTTCCTCTCTCATCCCATGGCCTCCCACGGCTTCCCAATTGTGACAGGTATTTCATGGGAGCCTCAGAACCTTCAGGGGGGAAAATCAGAAATGTTTTTATTTCCAAAACCTTGCTGCAATGCATAACATATGGAACAGGATTTAAGCCCTTGCCTTTGTTTACTTATGATGCGTGGTTATGTTGTTAAAAACATCATCTTAGAAGAAGCATGTGTTCTTGTGTTTTCACGCAGACAGAACACATATTCTAAGATAAAGTTTGAAATCTACAGGTTTTATTAAACCCATACACACATATATACCATATTTGCCAGTGTACAAGATGACTTTTTGGCCCTGAAACACATGCCTCCAAGTGGGGGGGGGCGTCTTATACGCCGGGTGCACTTCCAGCAAACCCTCCCTCAACCCTCCCTCCCTCCCAGGGAAGTCACTTACCTGATAGTAAGACCGAGTAGACCGAGCTCTTCCTTGGTAGCCTGGGAACAGCCTGACTCTAGCGCCGAACAGCTGACTGTTGGGAACCAGCAGAGAGGTGGCAGCCATTTTGAGATGCGACCACATGGCTGCTGCCTCTCAAAATGCCTCTCAACCTGTCTCTGCTGGTTCCCGACAGTCAGCTGTTCCGTGCCGATGCTGTCCTTCTTCTGGCAAACCCTCGCTCTCTCCCAGCGAAAGGAACCAAAAGCGGCAAAACGCATTCTCCTCATGATGCAGCCAAAGCAGAATTATGCATCTGGAAGAGGGGGTAGTCTTATATGGCAAGTATATAACAAACTCTACATTTTGAGTGGAAATGTTGGGAGGTCGTCTTATACACCCAGTCGCTTTATACGCCGGCAAATACGGTATTTAGAAAAAGATATATTAAATATCCTTTTCTAAACTTCTGGAATGATTACCTGCAACCATTTTAGCAAGCCAGTTTTAAATTGTTAATATGTATAATCATATGCTGAACCATTTGCTGAACAGATCCATAGAAAATGAGGCAGATATGAAGTGACATCGGTTGCAATCTTATGGTCATTTATGTGGAGTAAATATAGGGAAATGCAGTGCTGCTTACTTGGGACAAACATGTACAGCACTGTACATCATATTTCAGATAAATATGGTGAAGAACCAGACAAGTTTATGATAAAGTTCAAGAATGCTGCATTCTGAGGAATACTGAGGTGTGTTTCTATGAGAATGTACCAGTCTCCCACCAACCAGGCGGTTCGAAAGCATGCAAATGCGAGTAGATAAATAGGGACCACCTCGGTGGGAAGGTAACAGCGTTCCGTGTCTAAGTCGCACTGGCCATGTGACCTCGGAAGATTGTCTTCGGACAAACGCTGGCTCTATGGCTTGGAAACGGGGATGAGCACCGCCCCCTAGAGTCGAACACAACTGGACAAACCGTCAAGGGGGACCTTTACCTTTACCTATAATCATATCAACTAAAAGCTGGAACCCAACTTTTTCATATACAGTGGCTGGCCAGCTAAGCAGGTATATGACAGATTTCCGTTTTAACAAGAGTACTATTGAACTACAAGTGCTTCCATTTGCTGAACAGATCCACAGAAAATGAGGCAGATATGAAGTGACATCGGTTGCAATCTTATGGTCATTTATGTGGAGTAAATATAGGGAAATGCAGTGCTGCTTACTTGGGACAAACATGTACAGCACTGTACATCATATTTCAGATAAATATGGTGAAGAACCAGACAAGTTTATGATAAAGTTCAAGAATGCTGCATTCTGAGGAATACTGAGGTGTGTTTCTATGAGAATGTACCAGTCTTTGAAAAAGTTTAGGTTTAAAAATAATTAATTAGAGTTAAATATTCCACATTGGAAATTAATTTGTACTGTTAACAATTAAAACGAAACTGTTTAACTGTTTAATGGGTTAAACAATCTTGTTTAACTGTTAAGAGTACAACTTAAATTAACATTATTGACATGTGACCTGAAAAACCTTTCCCTCCCCTGGCAGAAGGGACTTATTATTCTACATTCTCTCTTCCCATAGGAAAAGGAATCTATACTTCCCTTTAAAAACTGAAATTATGTCAGATAGCCCAACCTTGGCCTTATGAACACATTTGGACTACAAAACCCAGAAGCCTAACTTACAATCATGAAGTATCTACAGCATTTTTCAAGCTTCTGGAAGCTATAGCTAAGGAGCATCTTTCAAGATGTATTCACGAAGGCTTTCATGGCCGGGATCTAATGGCTGTTGTGGGTCTTTCAGGCTCTTTGGCCATGTTATGAAAGTCCTTCTTCCTAACGTTTCGCCAATCTCTGTGTCCGGCATCTTCAGAGGACAGCTGTACTCTGAAGATGCCGACCACAGAGACTG